TGACAGCATTGATAGGGAATCTCTCTGGAAATTACAAGTGCACTAATAAATCCCGCAGAAAATTATTAGCTTAGTAAAGGCAACATATAAAGTCTTGAAATGTCGAGTTCTTCATGAAGGAAAGCTAACAGATGCATTTGTAATAAAAACAGGTCTGCGACAGGGATGTCTTTTGTCGCCGCTTCTATTTTTGACGGTAACCGCTTGGATTATGAAGCCACCAACGGCTAACACCAAGATTGGACTCAGTAGACCCCTACATACAGCTCGCTGGTCTGGACTTCGCTGATGATATTCCTTTTCTATCCCATTCAGATGCAAGACAAATTTAATATACTTGATGCGAGATCACAGCAGCTAGGTCTGAAAATCCATAAAGAAAAGACAATGATACGGTGAATAAATCTGGCAAATATTAATATGGTTTCCCTTAGTCGTATCCCACTCCTAGGCGTAGAGTCGTACATCTGTTTAGGCATTAATGCAGATAAAGATGGGGAACTGATATAGATAGAGAGTGAAGTTAAAAAGATGGGGAGGACATGGGGAGAGCTGCATATGATAGCAAAGGAAAGAGCGACTTAGCGTGAGCTCGTTGAGGGCATATGCTCTTTTAGGGGTTAGAAAGGCAGAAGAAGAAAAAGGTGTAAAGGCCGACCTCTACACAGATGTAAAAATATAAGCAAGCGGAACATGAATGATACAGGTATTGGTGTAGCCTCGTGGTCACAACATGTCATGAACAATGTTACGTGAAGGGTGCACATCAGAAAGGGAAGAAGAATGAAAGAAGAAATGATTGCAGGAAGGGTGAAAGCTGGGAGTCTGAGAAAAATCAAACTAAATACAAATGTTAACAACAATAGTTTTCACATCCTATGTTATAATTGTGGAAGACTTTTCCTTACTCTTTAAGTCCCATGAATTTTGACAGATTTGGCCCACATGTTTTTTGCCTTCACAAAAATGGCAGAGGGGTGGGTGTACACTAAAGGCAATAGAAAATGTAATATACTTCTAATCCTAATGAAAGTGTATACATTTTTAAAGAGAAATGAATGCACATTTAAAATCTGATAATAAGTGTATGTTTAATTTTTTTATAGTTAGTAGGAAAGAAGAATTCAGCAGGTGTTAATTTCACAGCAACAACATTTTACAAACAAATTCTTCACTTACCATGATTTTGCAGCCATACGAGTAGTGGATCAGGCGGGCGGGTTTTGCTAGTCACACTCGCCATCGCCATGGACTGTGAATCCAGTGCTTCCTCATAGCACAGTATAGCACTGTTGTCTAGAAATACGGATAGGTGCCAACAGCATAGCAGTACATGCATTGCAGCCAACCTTTATTATGGAGTCGGTTCAAATATGTCAGTCTGTCTGTCTGTCTGCCTAGCTGTACACGTGTGCATGTACATATGAAACAACTTCTTGCGGCTTCGAAAAAATGGATTTCCCTGAGAATTCTTAGCTCTTTCATCCAATGAAGTATACCTTTGTTCGTGTTGCCATAACGGAATTTGCACCAGCATATCCCCGTATTGTTGTTGTATGAGCCATTGCCTAACATCTCTTTCGTGGTAATTTTCTCCAGCCTTTTGAAAGACACGCCAGAGCCCACACAACACGGGCCAGACAATCACGCAATGATACGTTCTCTCACGCCAGATGGAAAAAAAAATACTCAAAGCAATGTTTTACGCAGACAATCAAACGACAGCTTCGGCGAGTCTGACCACTGAACCGTGATACAACCAAACGATACCGAATACCGGTTTACTTAATAAAATTGGACAGTCCAGTCGTGTGGTGTACAGTTGTGGGAACTAATAACGAACTCAGGTCCAGCTACGCCCAACTACTCACTAGCTGGTCTGTCATTGATGATTGGTCAGGCTGGACTATGTTAGAGGGGTGTAGAATGCACTATCTCGTCGGACCTAAGTTCACTTTGTGAGGCAGGGGTGTTGGGGTTACGGCCAGATGTACATGCTCACATCCTGTAATATAGAGCACACGTGGTCGCAATTAAGTCACTACCCTCAACTTAAACTTTAAGTCGAAACATGGTATTAACCCTATCAGTCCCAGGAAGAGGCGTAACCGCAAAGATTAATACTCAGGACATCCAGCCACGTAAAGTTTGTCTTTAAACGCTTTATAATAAAAATACTTATGTGGAAATAATATAAAAGTAGGCTGTTTTGGTGTGTGTGTGTGTGTGTTTTTTTTTTTTTTTTTAACCCTATCTCGTGGACCCGGAAATTTCTTGGGGAGTTTACGAAAAAGTCCAATAGTGAAGGGTTGTTAGGACGTGAAATGAACATCGCCTAACCCTAACCCGCCCCTCCTCCCCGCCTAGTTTTATTAAACGGAACTTCTAACGTTTCTCGCTCCAAACACACCGTGATTGACCGTTAACTCATGCTTGCTGGCCTTTCACACACGCTAGTGTAAGTTATGGGGGTGTCACTTTGTGTTGTGTTGGGTGCTCTGTGCTGTGTACATTGCGCGTCGTATACTGGTGGGTGTGAGCGGCAGGCGAGATTTCTTACATTATAGCTGTGTCGGACTTCTAGTACAACACAAATTTACTTCAGCTGTGAGCGTTGACGAGAGACGAGGAGAGATGTGTTGTTTTTCTGCAGCAAGACGGATGTTCAGCGCCAACCGCAAAATGTTAGCAGTTCTGAAACCACGTGATATAGACTGCACTCTCTCGCGGAACGTGGTCTGAGACGGTGGTTTAGGGGGTGTTGGAGTGAGGGCCAGATGTGTAGGTGTTGTCTCTCTAGTGTCTGCTACTATTTTTCTATGCCCCGGCCATTAAAGTTTATAGAAACCAATTATTAGTGTTGATTTAAATGCATTGTGTATTCTATTATTGTTTCTCTCTGTATTCTCTATTCTAACGCGTGTCACATTTCGTTTTGACATTTTTTTCTCAAAAGCTGGATATAAAAGCTCAGACAACTAGGTAATGAGACTGATTTCGTTATAGCCAAGACATATTAAAATTGAATCTGTGTTGCATGAGAGAATTCTTTTCCTAACCCTCAAGGACATGGATTTTTTTTTTTTCGTGAAACGTTTATTTTATAAATAGATTTTTGGCCTGTACTATTGTGTGTTTTTTTTTTCTTATCTTTGTGATACATCTTCCGTCAAATGTTGTCTGTCTTCTTCTTGTTCGTGTTCACCTGCTGTAAACCCAGGTGGAAAGTTCAGGTTATTCTTCCACTTCTGGACTCTAGTGTCAGGTGCGAATCCATTTGACAGATCTGATTTATTAAAATGCAGATTGTTTGTTCCTTGCCTCTCAGACATATGCACTCCGATTTTGATGGAAGCTACCAATTAGTCGACAGTTACGACATGCTTTTAGTAGGTTTTGGGTCTATTCTTTTTTTTTTCTTCTCACAAGGAGACCCCAGAAGCCAACGGGGAATTATCTATGTACCTAACTGTTTGTACTTGTCCTAAAATAACGCCTTTGCTTATCTACACATTTAAGCACTATTCCTGTCCTTAATATTGCCATTACTTTTGTCTTGCTATTATGCGAGCTGATGTGCATTTGATCACTTGTTACCACTATGTATCTATTGATCCCCGTAGTTCTTTCTAACTTGTCGTTATCCCTTTCACATATACAGGGAGAGTTTATAACTTCGTCTTCTGCATGTCATATGGTGCTGGTTCCTGAAGATACGGACAGAGCACTTGTGGGAATGTCTCGAGTGCTATAATCCCGGCCCTTAACAACCTTAGCCAGCTCAGTTTGGCATCTCTTTCGACTCTTCTACAGAATAAACAATGGCGCTAAAACAGTCGATTGTGAGAAATGTGATGAAAGACAGTTCACAGGCTATCGTGCATACACGTAGAAAATACTGCACGTTGACTAAAGTGATGCTTACTTCAGTACATGCTGTAGGGAGTTGTGGGGATAATACAGTCTAACCCCATCAGGTGGGCACACATGGTGTGCAGTGTCATCAATAATGAATTACTTCGGTGGTTAGTTCAAGCTTGTTATGTCTGCGCAGAAGTGTGATCCCTTGTGTCAGCTGCAACGCCTTCTCTGACTGAGCCCCTTCGTGCAGACACTGAGCTGTACATCACACATCAGACAGCTTCAATTAAATATCACACCCACCAAATTGGGCTACAGGTCCCTTGGTAACGGTCCGGTGCCATAGGTAGGTGATTTGTTCCTGTACGATTCTGAACCTAACGGTGGTTCTTTGAGTTGCTGCGTGTTCGTCTTTCTGAAACTAATTTGTGAAAAATCGAGGGGATGCATTTAATGAATAAAAGATTACCTCCGGGCAGTGGTGCCCAACTATTTTGACTCGCATAGGCCTTTTTGAAGCAAATACTTTGTTAAAGACCGTTTGGCCTTCCGTAATAAGACATTCATGACTAGGACCAAGGCTATTGACAGAAAATGTATGACAGGCCGGCTCACTTGCATGTCTGTTAACAATTTTGGAGTTAGTGGTAGCACACATTCTACGACCTGTTTCTTTATCTGTAGGTAATTTAATATTAAATAAGGTTCATGGTGCGGCTTCAGACTACTGAGAAATGCATGCGGAAACCCTAGGCTGGAGACCTGATGGCTGGGAACCTGATTGCTAGGGACCTAATGGCCGGGGACCTAATCGCTGGGGATCTGATGGCTGGGGACCTAATCGCTGGGGACCTAATGGCTTAGGGACCTGATGGCTGGTGACCTAATTGCTGGGTACCTGATGGCTGAGGATCTCTTGGCTGGGGACCTAATGGCTGGGGACCTTATGGCTGGGGACCTAATGGCTGAGGACCTGATGGCTGGGGACCTAATGGCTGGGGACCTAATGGCCGGGGACCTAATGGCTGGGGACCTGATGGCTGGGGACCTAATGGGTGGGGACTTAATGGCTTGTGACCTGATGGCTGGGGACCTAATGGTTTGGGACCTGATGGCTGGGGACCTGATGGCTGAGGATCTCATGGCTGGGGAGCCAATTGCTGGGGACCTGATGGCTGGGGACATAATGAATAGGGACCCAATTGCTGGGGACCTGATCGCTGAGGATCTCTTGGCTGGGGACATGATGGCTGGGGACACGATGGCTGGGGACATGATGGCTTTGGACACGATGGCTGGGGACACGATGGCTGGGGACACGATGGCTGGGGACACGATGGCTGGGGACACGATGGCTGGGGACATGATGGCTGGGGACACGATGGCTGGGGACATGATGGCTGGGAACATGATGGATAGGGACCCAATTGCTGGAGACCTGATGGCTGGGGACCTGATGGCTGGGGACCTGATGGTTGGGGACGTAATGGCTGGGAACCTAATGGCTGGGGACCTCATGGCTGGGTACCTCATGGCTGGGGACCTCATGGCTGGGGACCTAATGGCTGGGGACCTAATGGCTGGGGACCTCATGGCTGGGGACCTCATGGCTGGGAATCTAATGGCTGGGGACCTAATGACTGGGAATCTAATGGCTGGGAATCTAATGGCTGGGGACCTAATGGCTGGGGATCTAATTGCTGGGTACCTGATGGCTGAGGATCTCTTGGCTGGGGACCTAATGGCTGGGGACCTAATGGCTGGGGACCTAATGGCTGGGGACCTAATGGCTGGGGACCTAATGGCTGGGGACCTAATGGCTGGGGACCTAATGGCTGGTGATCTAATGGCTGGGGACCTCATGGCTGGGTACCTCATGGCTGGGGACCTGATGGTTGGGGACGTAATGGCTGGGAACCTAATGGCTGGTGATCTAATGGCTGGGGATCTAATGGCTGGGGATCTCATGGCTGGGGATCTAATGGCTGGGGACCTAATGGCTAGGACGCGATTGCATAGTTTCACGGAAATAAATTCAGAGTACCGTCTGAATCTGGAATGATATTACTAATAATAAAAATGTTAATAATAATGATAATATTTATAATAATCCAAATAATCTTTTGTGCCCCTGTCTTTTTGCTACGAATCTGTTGACATCATCTTATTCTTGACTTCTTTAGCATGTTGTTTATATTTATTTTTCTCGTTCTCTCCATGTCAAGATGACAGCCACTGGCACAGTCTTTAGGTCACCACTCGACGATTTAAGGCAAATGATTTTAGTGTGTACAATGGCGTCATCGATTCATGTGTTCATCTCTTAATATACAAGAGAACGACAATGGCGTCATCGATTCATGTGTTCATTTCTTAATATACAAGAGAACGACAATGTGCGTTTTGTTTCAGCATTTTATGGGATATTAAAGATTCAGTGATATATGAATATTGGACCAAAATATGGCTCTTCGGTTGTTGTTGTTTTTTCTTAATGATAAAGGCTAAAGAGTTATTTCGTCTGTGATTGTTATAGAATAGCTTGCATTGTTGTCATGTGTGAGCATAAACGTAGTTGAGTTGAGTCAAGAATTGACATCACAGCACTCGGGGCATTCCCATGCATGCTCTGTCCTCATCTTCAGCAGCCAGCGCATAGTTCCAATACTGACTGTACCGGTCGCAATGTGGTTAAAAGTCCGTCTTGCCTTTCCTCTTAGTGTAGTGAGCCGGCCAGACCCTCTGGTTACACCCAGGCGTCTCATTCTCTCCAGGTCATAATATTCTTTTTTCTCTACTGATTCCGTTGCTTGTTCCCAAAAGGCCTTGACCACATCTGCCTTGTCATGGTTAGCGTAGTTATTACTGGTAGCCATGGAGTGGGATCAGATCTTGTTCTTTTTTTTTTTAATTTTAGTTATGCCATGTTACCGGCTATTCGGCTATTTATTTCATATATTCACAGTCAAACACACACAAACATACACACAATCACACACACACATGTTCCTGCAAAGTTTGTGAGTTATCAGTGGGGATTTTGTTGTTGTTGTTGTTTACTGTATTCCTGTTTCTCCAGCTGGTCTGTCTCATTGTTGTATGTCGATATGTCAGTACTAGGACACACATAAGCATACAGATAGCCCAAAGAGGATTCAAGATACCACTATGTATCACTGACAGCGTCATGAGGAAGCGGCTAGATGCTCGAGAACGCATACAAAGGTCGTGTGTTCCGATTCCCTACAGGAAGCCAAGGCGGCCGGCATGATGTTGAATACATCACGCACAGAGCGCTGAATGTTCTATAAAATAAAATTCTAGCACCATATGTCCAATACACTTGATGGTGTGGGGAAAAAAAAAGCTGCTTTCACATTTTCGGCAAAAAATATGGCCAAGAGAAACACCAGTGCAAGCCAAACTGTACAGGTCGTAGAGCAGATTACAGCAGTCAGCGAGTTTATATTAGAGAGAACTTTCTAGATATTTATAATCTATTTCAAGCGAACGAACGGAAAAGAAGGAAAAGGTCTTTTTACTTTTACTGTAATCAATACTATATCTAAATCCATGACACTCAATGGGTATCCCAACGTAGTAAGAAAGCAAAACAGAACATTCATAATAAGATACGAAAGTAACAAATGACAGTTAACATTAGATACAAAAATAACAAAGAACAGTAAACATAAGACACGCAAGTAACACAAACAGTAAACATAAGATGCAAAAGTAACAGAGAATAGTAAAAATAAGATACGAAAGTAACAGAGAATAGTAAACATAAGATACGAAAGTAACAGAGAATAGTAAACATAATATGCGAAAGTAACAGAGAATAGTGAACATAAGATACGAAAGTTACAGAGAATAGTAAACATAAGATACGAAAGTAACAGAGAATAGTAAACATAAGATACGAAAGTAACAGAGAATAGTAAACATAATATGCGAAAGTAACAGAGAATAGTGAACATAAGATACGAAAGTTACAGAGAATAGTAAACATAAGATACGAAAGTAACAGAGAATAGTAAACATAAGATGCGAAAGTAACAGAGAATAGTTAACATAATATGCGAAAGTAACAGAGAATAGTAAACATAAGATACGAAAGTAACAGAGAATAGTAAACATAAGATGCGAAAGTAACAGAGAATAGTTAACATAATATGCGAAAGTAACAGAGAATAGTGAACATAAGATACGAAAGTTACAGAGAATAGTAAACATAAGATACGAAAGTAACAGAGAATAGTAAACATAAGATGCGAAAGTAACAGAGAATAGTTAACATAATATGCGAAAGTAACAGAGAATAGTAAACATAAGATACGAAAGTAACAGAGAATAGTAAACATAAGATGCGAAAGTAACAGAGAATAGTTAACATAATATGCGAAAGTAACAGAGAATAGTAAACATAAGATACGAAAGTTACAGAGAATAGTAAACATAAGAGTTAAAAGTAACAGAGAATAGTAAACATAAGATACGAAAGTTACAAACAAGAGAAAACAAAAATAAAAATAAATATAAACACAAGCACTCAGTAAAGTAAAGAACACATTAATCTAGCGACCACCGCTTTCTGAATAAGACGCTATTGTGCCTTTAGATATTTGAGCAAAATGTAGAGTTCATAGGTCCAGTGCTTTTCTGCAAGTTAGTCATACAGCAGACAGTGTGATAACGTTAAAGATGTTGTAACCGTTTGTTGTCGTCAGTCAAAACCTTCTAAACATCTGTCATTGAATCTCATACCATGAAGTGTGTAACATGCAATCGTTCATCAGTTGATATGTGTAAAATGTGTTTATGGGTTTGAAAGCTTTGGGGAGAACCTCATTGCTCCAGAAGAACCGTATATGACTGCGTCTGCCTGTGAGGAGCGTTTGGCTCTCCCGAAGCACCGGCTCTGTAGTTCCAGCGACGAGCTCCAGTCTCTGAAACCACTGTATCAATATTATTTAAAGACTTTTGTCAGTCGGTGTCTGTAGCTTAGGTATTACAAACGTGCTTCATAATACCGAGGTGCCGGGTTCCATTCCCTGCTGCAGACGACTAGGCAGCAGTTCGTCTTGTGTTGGGTTTGACAACAGTACCTACAGCAAACCTTTTAGGGGACAATAACAAACTACTGAACGTAACATCTGCTTAGAAAATGCACACACCAGTCAATACATAATGAGGCAGGTTGTGCAACGTCCTGTGAAGGACACTCAACTAACTTGTTGTCAGACATTATAAGAATAGCCAGCTTTTCCAAACGTCTCCTAATTTATTCAGTATTTGGATAGTTTAACTCACAATTTTCTAAACATTTTTGTTTGGGGTGATAGTAGTAGTTGCTGTAATAGCAACAGCAGCAGTGGTAGTAGTAGCAGCTACAACAACAGCAGCAGCAATAGTAGCAGCAATAATAGCAGCAGCAATATCAGCAATAGTAGTGACAGTAGTAGTTACTGTGATAGCAGAAGCAGCAGTAGCAGTAGTAGCAGCAACAACAGCAGCAGCAACAATAGCAGCAGCAGTAAAAGCAATAGGAACAGCAGTAATAGCAGCAGCAGTAGTAGCACAGCAGTAGCAGCAAAAGTAGTGGTAGTAGTAGCAGTAGCAGCAGCAACAGCAGTAGTAGTAGTAGCAGCAGTAGCAGTAAAAGAAGTAGCAGTAGCAACAGCAATAGTAGTAGTAGTAGTACTAAATAAGCAAAAACACTGAAGGTAACATTTGGGATATTGTAACAACGTGCGCTAGCGTGTATACATTGTGCGACATTTAAAAAAGGGTGAGGAATACAGGCGAAAAACAGGCTAAAACCTCTGGTCGTGTTTCCTGAACATTTGCCCTGGCTGACCACATGGCCGAACACAGTAAGAGCATACCTCATCTGTTGCACATCTGACGATCTCTTGCAATGTTTATCCTTTCAAATCTACATCAGTAAAAATAGAACGGCATCTAGCCGGCGTTTTGCAAATAAAAAATGGAAAGCCGGCTCTCCCGCCATTAAACATAAACCATATATAATCGAAGGATAAACCCGACTCTGGCAGAAGTAAAAAGCGATCAAAATTCCTTTCAAAGATATTTTTTATTACAAATTGTTTAGATGTTTGGAATAGAACTGAGAATTCAGAGAAAAGTGCTCTTGTTGTGGCAGCTATTTTGAAACCTCTTCTCGAAGGTTCCTATTTAACTTTTTCAGTTTTTGGTAATTGTTCTTGAAAGATAATAGCACTGTTGGGAGGATGGCGGTAACGGTTTCACTGCTACAGGATACATTGAGCGGCCCTAAGATAAGGATCATCGATGATTGTATTTCTTTACATTTTACATTTGGTTACATCATGCTAAAAACCTGGCTTCCCCCAGTGGTCATTTTCTTTCATCTAGAGAAATTCAGAGAGATAACTTTAGAGTGTCCCATTCCTAATTTTTCTCCTCCTCCTCCAACTTCTTCTTCTTTTCTGTTTTTTTTTCTTCGTTTTTTCG